CCAAGGAGAGAGAGAAGGGTTGTTAGAGAAGAGAGAGAGAGGTTAGTAGGGGGAGAGAGAGAGAGAGGACATGGGGCAAGGCATTTCATTTTGACGGGGCAAGGGGGTTTAGTTTGACAGAAGGAGGGGGTGCATTAATCCCACTTCGAACCTATAGCTTTTTGTAAGATGGTATAAACATATCATGGAGCATATGATAAGTGTCCCACGTGACTACAAGTTTGGGTAAGTGGGCTTGCAATAATGAGCCCTTAAGTCAAATCAGCAATGTGAGACCAGCAATGATGGAGTTTTTTATAATTTAAAACGCGGGGCAAACTTTGCATTGAAAATTGTCAGCATGTGAACTAGTGACGTGTCCGGTTTTTTCTGATAGAACCAGTCTAACCTGGCCGGTTCTAGGGGGAGTCGTCTGGATCCCGATATATGAAGGGATCCGGATGGCTATGAACGATTTCTAATCCAGATCAGGTGATTCCCAATCCGGATCGCCGAGTTTTCAAACCTTGATGATAACAAAAGCCCAAAGCATGTTAGATCCAAACCTAAATTGTTGTGGTTACAAAAACTGTTGCATCGTGACTTCTAAATATTCAATTTTCAAAGGGTTTCTTGCATAAAAAGAGTTAAGTACAGAATAAATAAAATTGAGTACATTCCCGCCTGCAACAGATTTTATAACACATGTATTTCCAACTAAGCATAGCCTAATATCAGTAGCAAGTATATTCCTAATTAAATAACATCCCAATATTCAATTAGTACGAGTTAAGAAGCAAGAAAAAACAAAGGCAGCTACTTAATTTATTATGCAAAAACTTAGGCAGAGCAGACACCTCTTCTTTAGTTCTTCGAAGCGCTTTGATTTCAACTCCACCTCTTGAAGATCAGCATTCACCTCTGCACATTGCCTTTCAATTTCTTCAATTGCTCCCTCCAACCTTCTTTTTTCTTCTTCAACCTTCAATGGCATCAAGGAATGAAAACATGCAAACCTTGATATTAGAGGTGAACCCTTTACTGAGATGCATAAATCAACAAGAGCAACAAGAATGTACAAACAGCTCAAAAACATGTCAGCTAACATTAAGCACCCTTAGTTTTTCCTTAAGAAAGTCAGTTCACTGAGAACACCATGCGATTCACTCTCAAGGCGTTGAATGCAAGCTTCATAGGCTTTAATGTCTCTATTAACATCTTCAACCTCCTTATCTAGCTTATCAGACAACACACGCATGCACTCCAAACATAGAGGTTGCTCAATCGACATAATAAAAATGGAAATAACAAATCCAATAATTTTGCAGAACAATTTGAAAACAAGAAAATATGATTTAAAATGTTCTGAGGGACATTATAAGCAAGAGTTATGCACTTCATACAAGTGAAGGGCAAAACAATTTAGCATACAAAACCACAAGGACTATAAAAGGATACAGACAAAAGGAACAAGCCATTCCCTAGAGGAATTATCTAATGTCACTAACGTAATTGACCATGAGAAAATAATGGGCACAAAAGTAAGAATAACTTACCTTAATAGGCTATTACCAAAAGATAGCAAGTTTCATACAATAAATATAGTGAAGCATTTTGAAATTTTTGATAATTTAAGACTTAAAACAAACTTGATGTCCGTAAGGGCACATAAGAATAACCAAGCTACAGTAATGATCAACCGCTATAAAAAAGGAATATTTCTATAATAAATGGGGAGGTATTTAATATTTTTAGGAAAATCAGACATCACTAGACTAATGTTGGCTGCACATGAAAAGAATGACCGTTCCTTGTCAGGAACCATTTCTATTAGCACTTACTCATTTACCGATACAGAAGAAAGAAAAACCAAAATTTTCTTCCAAGCTGCAAATTTCATAATAGAGAGATATCATCAAAAATCATTATAGTACAACACAAATAGCAGTATGACGAAACCATTCAGTTTGGGGGTGTTAGTATTGAATCGATAGAAAACTCAGAAATCAGCAAATCACCAAAACAAGAACCCACAGAGACCAACTGTACTTTGATGACCTTAACCCGTCCCATGCTCGGGTAAAAAGGCTGTTGTGTTAGGTACGCAGCCAATGTAAAATTTTGCCGAAACTTATCATGAATCCTGAGCCAACAATATCTGCTTATGCTAGGGCATTTGGCCTCATTGAGAGTATGTCTTTTAATAAAGCAGAATGGCAAGCCAGGATTCGTGTTGCCGAACCCAATTAATTGAGAAAAGGCTATGACAATGATTAAAATAATTAATAAACACTTGCAAACACTGTATAAATAAACGCTGCTAAATATACAATTTTTCCACAACAATGAGCTTATTCATAGCAAGGCCTACATCAATAAGAGAATCAACATGTCACCACCGCAATTTCAGTACCTGTGTCTGGGCAGTGGCTATGTCAAATGCACGTTTCAACACGGTAATACTAGAATTAAACCCAGCATTGCTCATGTTAGAAGGGCTAGCAGGGCCCCCTCCAGGTGGTGGTGAAAGTGGTATGCCACCTTCAGGTGAAGATTCGACTTTGTACACAGAAGCAGCAGCTGGTGGCAACACCACAAAGGATTCTTCCATGGCCTTATTGCTATGGCTATCAGTTGTAGAGGTTGCACCTTGAGTAGTAGAGAGTCTCTCGGGCATAACATACTGACCAGGGGGATTCATACTTCCTGAAACAGCAAGATTACCAGGCTGCTGAGATGAACTGCGAGGACGAGGAGGAAAACCAGGACTTCTTTGCTTTGGCATCACGACAAATGAATTGTCCATTCTACACGATCCCAATATGCTCCCAGCACCATGCATTGAGGAAGCTTGCATTCCTGCATATATTCAATATATGTATAAGCATCTTTTTTAACCTTGCACACACTGATTAGAGCGATTGCACTAGGGGGCCAATGTACAGTTGGTTTAGTCTCTGTCCATATTTATGTAATTTGAACTCTAATTCAAGCCTTATAGTTCATAGTGTGCAGCTTACATATGTGAAGTCATGTGCAAAATATCCTAAATACTGATTTATTTTGTAATTTGCCGGTTGCCATCATGAACTATATAACTATGCTTTGGGCCTACAGCACCCAATCTTACCATACTCAGAACGGGAAGAAATCAAATAATGTATCTAAACCAATGGTTTTCACATTTTTTGATATAGAAGGATAACATAGGTTTTCAGACTCTCATCTGCACCTAAAATCCTCCTACCCAAGACTCTAAGAAATTACAAACATTAATGATGCCCTAATACATCTGGAAATATGACTTTCCTTATTATATAACCAAAAAGAAAATAGGAACAACAACTTACCCAAAAAACCCAAAAGATAACTAATGACTGCCACCTCAAAAGAAGCAAAGATACTCATGGAAATGGCACAAAGACATGAAGAAGTGAGCTTCACAGAAGCCCATTGATATAGACCGACGAAGTATTCCAAGCCCCATATGATAATTTGCCATAAAGAAGGATGCACTCACAATGTATTCTATTTTTTGCACAAGAAACAAAAAGTGGAAAACTGTAAACCCTGAACCCCTTCTCATCGAGATGGTTGACAGTAAAAACCAACTGCCCAAAGACTACCACCAACAATAAACACAAGATCCACCAAACAGGTTGAGATAATGAAGATCCTTCTTTGCATCCACATAAAGCTCCATAGAAAGACTTCATCGATAAAGCTTAAAACTTTTCCATTACAACCCTCACACTTTTCTATTACAACCCTCGCATAGTAAAAGACCACTCTAGCTTTTCTAAAAGATATGTTACTAACCTCAGCCTCCCCATACTTAACCACATAAAATTCATAACAACTACGACGCATTCCAAATTCTTATCTCACTCCTATGCCCAACCCTAACAAAATAGCTTTTCTAGTATCTCGGATACTATTCAATAAGTTGTTGCCAGTTCCATTTAAGATTAGTTACCGACTCAAAATATTCAAAACTACATAAGTACAGGGTACAAACTTTCTTTCTCTTGCTTTTTTCATCCAATTATCGATCATTACATGTGATAGCATTTTTTTTCGCAATGGATGTAATGCGTCACAAGTACACCACAGTTTCAAAAATTCCATTTATTTTCCTTTCAATATTTGAAACATGCATGCTGGTAATACACCAGAGTGATAATGATGGTCCGGATCACAATTTTTATATAGGATCGTGAAACGATCATAGCAATAACCATGGAAATGTTCGTGAGAATAGATTTATAAATACCAAGGATTTCTGACGTTGTCACCTACGAAACAGTGGACTGCAGAAGATTGCAAGAAAATAAAACAAATCATCACAAATTTGACGTTTTCCACAATAAAATAAGCCACGCTAATGAAATAACTGTCACGGATCAAAAAATCCCAATGAGGAGCCATCAATTCTCAAAAGCAATACGGTTTTCTTTTATGCATAGAAACAACTGAAACAATTCATAAGACAAAAAGGGCAGAAAGCAGGAAAAAAAATTCTCAACACTGATTCACAACGTTGAAGACACTAAACCCTCTTCAGAAACATTAATCAGAAGAATAAAGAAACAAGAACACGCTTAACACTAACCTGAGCGAGAAGGATCACCAAAGAACTTATCAGCATATGAATCGACCCCTACAACCGATAATGGATGGCGGCAATTCTGGCAAACCCATCTTGGAAGGCTAGTATCCACTGGAAGGCTCCTTCCTCCGCCCTTGTCAGGACTCATCTCCCTATGAATGTTTTTTTTTCTTTTTTTCTTTTTTTGGAGAATTGAACTATTTAAAGTTACAGAGAGCAAGCAAACATAGCTTCTTCTTCATAGGAATTCTGCATAATAAAGAACAAACGGTTAATAATAGTTGCAGCGAGAGAGAGGGCCTGAATTCCTCCGTAAAATCATGACGTAATTCATATGAAGCTCAAAGATTCATTATTACACATCCGAATTTTTGGGATTTTGGAACGTTGAACATCCGAAAATCGCACGATTGTAAATTTTAACTTCGGCCAGTATGTTTTCTGCGTATTTGAACATTAGTTCAGTGTTAATGATATGTGAGTTCTTTTGTGCGCCTATTTGATATCTCATTGGTAAATATTATTAAATAATTCATAGATTTTGATTTTTAACATTGTATGTCTTTGACAAACATCATTTCCTGGATTTTGAAGCCATTTTACAGAATGAAGGTATGTGGGTCGATTTTTTAAATTTAGAGTGCCACCTGATTTTGGGTTACAGTTTATACTCGAGCATAGTAGTTATTTCTTGTGAATTTAGTTAGTATAGATTGAATTAATTTGTCGCTCCATTGTGATTGAATTAGATTTTTAAAATTTGTGGGTTTTGAGAATTTGGAATTTTGTAGTCTCTGTAGAACTGTAAATATTTTTTTAATTCAAAGGTTTATACTCTTAATATTGGGTCTATGCTTATTGGGTGTGTTTCTTGAGGATTGTGGCTTTGCTCGTGTTTTTTATTATAATTTGGGGGTTTTGCTCCTGTTTATAAGTAGCATGATAGGTGACCATATCATTGGATTTAATCTGTTGCTTGTATTATAAGTAGCATTGTTCTTTGCTATTGCTTGAAATTGTTGCTTGAAATTAAATTGAATTTTTTCTTTTTTGATGGAGTCATTCATCTATTTATAAATCGAATAATTGGGTCTATGCTTATTGGGTGTGTTTCTTGCGGATTGTGGTTTCGCTCGTATTTTCTATTATAATTTGGGGGTTGTGCTCATGTTTATAAGTAGCATGATAGGTGACCATATCATTGGATTTAATCTGTTGCTTGTATTATAAGTAGCATTGTTCTTTGCTATTGCTTGAAATTGTTGCTTGAAATTAAATTGAATTTTTTCTTTTTTGATGAAATCATTCGTTTATCTATAAATCGAATTATTCAATTTTTTTATTGAATGACTTGGTTTTTAATGGTTTGGTTGCTGAGCTAATATCTTGGCAATCCACATAACCTAATACATCCCATCAGACAAGAATTTGATAACCTCCAACCTAATGAGGTCAGTGTATAATTTGATATTGATTACTTTCAAATGTATTTAAGTCTTTGTAATTATTTTTATTGACTGATTGCATATCATATAACAGGTAATATGGAATCCTTATTTCAAGCCTGATACGATCATTTCAGATGATAGGCAGCAGGCATATGAAACTGCAATGTGCATAACAACGTTTATATTTGACAATATTGCCGAGCTGTACATGCCAAATCGAGTACGCCGACAATTTGGAGCTAAACAGGGCATTCCTAAAAATCCCTTGGTTGTTGGTAAGAGGGCCAGCAGAAAAGGTAGACAACGAGATTGGCGAACTGTAAATGCAGACAAAATCCAACGCTGGGAAACTCGCCATGATCGCATGATGCCTGAAATTGAAGAATATACTGACAATGGATTGTCCTCAGAGGAGTACAAGGTCTGGTACAACCTAGTGTCTCATCCTCTAGTACAGAATATCACTAATCCACCCAAAGACATATTGCAACCTCGTAAACAAAAAGAAGAAGATGCGGTTCCTACTCATGGACCACAATATATAATGAGACCTCGAGGTTATGAGGATCAATTGGTATGTTTATATTGACTTACAAATTCTTATAGTGTGGTACTTACCTATTAGTTCCATGAAATTATTTAAATATATTAATTAGGTAATATTGTTTGTACAGGTTAGTGCAATTCAGGCATCTACAATCATATTAGTAAAGACACTTACACTTAGACAAAAATGAAATCCTGAAGTGTATAATCGCGTTAACAACACGTTTGAAACATTGTCTAAGTTTATGCTTGTGGATATGGATGACATAGAAGCCATGATGGAAAATTTACAACGTGAATATCATGATGAAGGTGTATCTGACAAGGCCAGACATGATGGAGTGGGTGAAAATAGTCGGGCTATAGAAGACCTAGCTCTATCCGCACAACCAGTAGTTGAAGAACACAGAAGATATAACACGCGAAAGAAACAATATCAGCCTAAGAGAAGGCGACGAATGTAATGGGGTCTTGACCCTTGTAATTTTGTTCATTTGAATTTATTGGAACAATTGATTTTTTCATTTTGAGCGATGTAATGTATTGGTCATTTTGACCCACCCAATTTGTTCAATGAACTTTGTTACGTACAATTTGGTTAAGCCTTTCTACTTTCTTACTTGCGAAGTTCAAATGATATTATATGAGGTGTCGATGTTGTAATAATGTTTAAAAATAGAAACAGTAACAATGTTTAACGTTTCAAAGTTGTAAAATATGAATTAATGGCTATTGATTTAGTCACTAATTTGCTTCAAAATTAATGGCCATCCTAGTGATGGTCCTCCCTAGTTCACACTAAAATTTGCTGCTAAATTAATCTATCTACTACTTGCTTGAGTCTAGAGTCGATGATTTAAAAAGGTATGTTTAAGTGACCAGTGAGATCAACTGATACTTCACATGTATTAGCGACCAGTGACATTAAGACCAAAACTTCATAATGAGCATTAAGACCAACTCATCCTTCATATGTATAAGTAATCAGTGATATTTTCGAATGCATAACATCCGAAAATATCAAGTTCTTGGATGATGTCAACATCCGAAAATAATTTCAGATGTCTAACATCGGAAATTATAACGTTTTCGGATGTATAACATCCGAAAACTTGACCTTTTTGGATATTTAACATCCGAAAATAATACTGGGAACATCCAGGGAGTCCTTGGATGTTTGCCGTGATATTTTCAGATATACAACATCCGAAAATATCACAATTTCGGATGTTGGACGTCCAAAATTATTTTCGGATGTACAACATCCTAACACTTGATATTTTGGAATGTTCAACATCCGAAACAGTTTTGTTTATGTCACTGCTTGTAGTAGCATGTGATCACTTATATGTCACTGCTTTATCAACTTATTAGTAGCATGTGAAGTATCAATTATGCTATTAATATCAAACAATTATGTTGTTAACTCAAATTGTGAAATGATGAAGCTGATGCACAATTGTAATTCCAGTAGTCGTGTTGCTATGAATGCCCCACATTTCTCATCTATATGCAACTTTTTTATTTTTGAATGAAGCCTTTACAAATTAACATAGCTTATTTGCAATTTAAAATATCTTTCAGTAGGGGCTCCAAAGTCTCCATCAAGATTTATGACAACATCAAAGTACAACAAGTACAACAACACAATATTTAGAATATTAACATTAAGTAATTAACTCTATCGATTCTCTGCATGTCCTCCTATTATGACCCATAGCACCGCATCGTTTGCACTTCAAAGGCCTGGTGATCGGATGTTCCATCTCGGATATTCTTCGTTGCTTTTTTAGCCTACCGGAAGGCGTGTAGTCCTTGGTGACAACATTTTCCAGTTGTAAATACTTGTCAACTCAATATCATCTGGGACAGGCGCAAGGGGAGTTTTAAGTGCCCTTTTAAAGCATTCTACTGTGAAATACCTAAGGCAGTACATAATGGGATCCAAATGCATATGGTTAATGATGCTACAATGGCATGGGCACACGGAATGCCACGAAGTTGTCATTTTCTACAACTGCATGTCCAATGTGTTAAATCGACAGTGTACTTCTTCTTAAGATAGTGGATCTCAAATTGCGTATCCATGACGGATATAACTGTGTAAAAAAATAGAGCCTTCATCTTAGCAGGTAAAGTAATACTAGCATGCCGCACCAAGTATTACCTAACTCCCTCTTCCCTTCAAACTTGGTCATCAACTGTGCCCTTATTTCTTCACACATTGTAATGATCGGCTTCTCTTGAGCAGATAAAATCCAAGCATTGAAAGACTCGGCCATATTTGAGGTAAGATGACTGTATCTAGGCCCTGGAAAATAGGCATCTGCCCAAAATTTGGGGAGAATATTCTTAATCCACTCATATGCTTCTGGGTCGGCACGCTGTATATCAAACATTATTTTTTCAAACCCACCAATGGTCGCTTTACGAGCAGCCTTCCAAAACAGCATCAACAATACTTTCGAATTTGTTGACTTCTTCATAAAGCCCTTGAAGTTGTCTCCTATATGTCACATGCAAAATGATGGAAAACATGTGGGAAAACATTTTTCTATTACTTCTGACAGGTTTTTCTATCGATCTGATATAATGGTTAAGACAAGCAGATTAGGATATACATTCAATAACTTATTCAATATACTAAAGAACCAATACCAACTATGGTAGTTCTCCTTCTCAACCACTGCAAATGCCAATGGGAAGAGCCCGTTACTTGCATCTAGCACGATGACGCACAATAATATGTCTTGATACTTTCCTTTTAGAAATATCTCATCAATACCAATTAGTAGCATGTATTCATTAACAAAACCCATAATGCATGGATGATAAGCAATAAATACTCGTTTGAACCTGCCTTCATCTGTGTGGATGCGAACTTCGGTTCTCGGATTGGTTCTTCGGATCTTCTTAATATACAGGGGGAAGTCATGGTATTGTTGTTTATGTGATCTATCTATCATCTCTCTAGTAACCTCTTTTCACCGTCAAGCTTGCGTGTAGGGAAGCCTGATCCCGTGATCACGTTGAACATCCTTTACAATGTCTTTTGCTTTAATTTTTGATTGGTCAAGAACGTGACCTTTAATCTTTTTTGCAACCCAATCACTACGAGCTAGTGGCTGATGGACCATCTCCATTGGACCACTACATGTGTGCTCCTTAACTGTAGACTTTACTTTAAAGTATGCGGTACTACCAACTCGTAAACACCACACTTGCCATGTGCATCCCTCTACCTTGCAACTTGCCCACACCCGTCCTAATTTACTTTTGTCAAACTTTAGAACAAAATTGTTGTGAATTGTAAAATCAACTAGATGATGCCGGCATTCATTAACATTTTAAAAAAATTGCCCAACATTCAATTGAACCTCATTACCAACTCCTCTACATGGACTATCTAGTGGTTCAATATCCTCCATATCACGCTCGGGTACAAGCTCAAGGT